TAGACTGTCTAGCTCATGCACTGCCGAGATCAACATTTTAGGTGGTGGTAGTATAGCACGCATTTGAGGTCGTTAATTTTGTTTGCTGAATGCGGCTGCGACGCAGGATGCTGGCTGCAAAATAAGAGGCTGTGGTGACTAGCTCGCTTCGAAGTGAACTCCACTAGAATCTCACGACTGCGGTTCTCGACGCCTGGATCAGTCAATCACAGTTGCCGCAAAAAACGCTTTCTGGCCAGGCGACGAATAGCAACACAGTACGCGTGACTTGCTCTCTCTGTCCACTGGCCTGACTGCTGTCAAACTGGCCCATGGGCCAGGCTGGCTCTCCTGGTTGGCCGTGTTCTCCCAAGTCAGACTTCTTCCATCTATTCTCCGTTCCTCTGTGTACACAATATACAATTCCTACTACTCTGGCCTCTACCGACTTCTCCTCTTCTAAGTAACCATGGTCTGAAGATCATAGTTGCTAAGGTTTAACTTACTTAACCCCCTGCGCTAAGGTCATTTCAGACTTTTTAAATGAAGGGAAAACAGGCCAGAATTAGAGAAATTCCAACGTTTCGTGATATCCAGGAATTTTCCTACGTTATTGAAAAGGATGTATCAAAAGCTCTGGTTTTTGCGCTCTGTACTATAAACCGAGACTTATATAAATAGGAAATTTCGGACTAAATTCCTTCAGAGAGCGGAAGTTTTGGTTTTGCGTTCACGGAAATTGCGTAAATGCAGGCATGAGAAATTGCATTGTTTTCGAGGAAAAAAACAGGGCGAATTCAGTTTAAGCTATTCTTTTATGCAAATTTGTGACGTTTTGTGCCATAAAACTCGGTACTACACTTGTGTGAATGTAGGACACCGGTCAATGGGGCCCTAAACCAAGACATATGTGAGAACCCGCGACAGGCCGTCATCGAACACAATATGGAAGAATACGTCTTTGCTAAATTCGCAAAATGAAACCTTTTTGGACATAATCCTACTTTTATTGCTTTCCTCACTTATTTCTTTCAAGGACAAGCCTTCTACGCATTTAAAACTTCTAAATGAGCGTTTCTAAACAACTTTATAAACCACAATATACTTTCTTTTTAAGAATCTTTGTGCTTTTACTACTGTAGTTTTTTGAGGGACTTAATGGGGCCTGATTTTGCATAACAGGGTTTTTTTTGTGAAACTCGTGAAATAGAAAGTGTGTTGTTTTTTCCTCTATCGCAGTGGATTAAGTTACTAGTTACACCCTTGCCGTTGCAATCTTGAAAACCGGTTTCCTGGGGAAAGAGAAGTGAGAAGTGAAAGGAATAATATTGTTTTCACCATCCCCCAAAGAGGAGGAAGAAGAAGGTACGAGGACCTGGGCCGTTTTATTTTGAGACTGACGTTTCGGGTACTCGCTTGTTTCCATCGTCAGGGTAAGGTGGTGGTTGTCCCTGTTTGCTGGGACTGTTGCAGCCTTGCCGGATGCCTGTTATTATATCCGCGCTCGAAGCACGAACTTTGAGCTGTCTGTTCGCTGCTGACTTACCGTGAGTTTGATCGCTGGTGGGCTCGTGTGACCTCTGCTCCTTTTGTGGCTGCCGCAGGTCAGTGTACTGGCTGGCCTGCCCCTCGTCGACCGCCGGAGTAATCAGTTGTTGCTGTCCGTATGAGTTGCTGTCAACCTCGTGGGCGCGGCGGAATAATATATTCTGTACAAAGGCAATAAAGAGTAGGTTGGAGGAAGTTGACTGTCAGAAGAACGTGCGTCCGCTCCTGAGGGGGTGCGGCATCCAAAGGGTGTGTGTGAGCGTGGCAGTCATGACAATGCGGTCCTGTGTGAGTCAACCTTGAA